CCAAGCCAGCCACAAGAGGGCTCCAGCCCCGTGGGGGCGTGCTCTCTAGCACTGCGACGTCTTGCTTGGCTTGTTCCCATTGTGGGCCCCTGGAGGCCAGGACTCGGGACCCCTGCCAGGCACGGGACTGGCTCTTCGTCCGGGGCTCTTCCTTGCCAGTCATGGGCCCCGGTGAGGGCCTCCGGAGCCCCAAAACTGCCGAGAACCCCTTACGTCGGGATCTCTGCGTAGCGCGAGGAGTTGTGGGCCTGTCTCTTCTCGGCTCGTGCTCTGGCCCCCTCTGGCAGGCGGGCCAGTTCGACGCGGCCAAGGAGCTCCTCGACGTCCTAGGCAAGGAGATCGACGAGGCGTACGAGGTGCCCGCCCTCATCCAGTCCGAGCTCCAGAGGGCCAACGCGCAGCTCTGGAAGAAGCTCGAGCGGCCCCAGGACTTCTACAAGGCCCTCGTCCGTTCTTCCCTCTCGCCATTACCACCGTCGTTATGCTCCTCCGCAGATCCTCCTGCTGCTCCCCATCCGTTCATCCCTCCCCCCCTCTCCCATCCGTCCGCCCCCCGCCTCCTCATGTACCTCCTCGTCGTCGGCCTCCTCATCCGTACCATCCTCATTCTCATCCTCGTCATCATCAGCATCAGCTGAACTGGCAGCTGAGGCAGCTGAACTTCGGCATTGGCAGCTCATTCGTTCATTCATTCATTCATTCATTCATTCATTCATTCATTCATTCATTCATCATCATCAACATCATCATCTTTATTATCCTCATCATAATCCTGATCATCATCCTCAGCATCATCATCAGCAGCATCAGCATCAGCATCATCATCATCAGCAGCAGCAGCACCATCGGCATCATCATCGTCATCACTACCATCACCAACACCATCATCATGCTGATAATCATTATCAGCAGCATGATCGTCATCATCATCAGCAGCATCATCATCATCATCAGCATCAGCATCATCATCATCGGCATCATCAGCATCATCATTGTCATCACCCACCACCACCAACACCATCATCATGATGATAATCAGTATCAGCAGCATCATCGTCATCATCAGCATCATCAGCATCATCACCAACATCAGCATCAACATCGTACACATCATCATCATCATCATCATCATCATCATCATCATCATCATCATCACCATCATCACCATCATCATCATCATCATCATCAACATCATCATCATATCATCATCGTCATCGGCATCATCTGCACGATCACCGTCATCATCATCGTCATCATCACCATCAACATCATCATCAGCAGCATCATCAGCGTCATCAGCGTCATCATCATCACCACCATCACCGTCATCATCATCATCATCAGCTTCATCATCATCAGCAGCATCATCATCGTCATCATCAACACCATCATCATCATTATCATTATCATTATCATCATCATCATCATCATCATCATCATCATCATCATCGTCATCGTCATCGCCATCGTCATCATCAGCAGCATCAGCATCAGCATCATCATCATCATCATCATCATCATCATCATCATCATCATCATCATCATCATCATCATCATTATCGTCATCACTACCATCACCAGCAACATCACCATGATGAGAATCATTATCAGCAGTATCATCGTCATCATCATCGTCATCATCACCATCACCATCACCATCGCCATCATCATGACCACCATTATCAGAGTCATCATACTCGTCATCTTCCCCTTCCTCCTCCTCCTCCTCCTTCTCCTCGTTCTCCTCATCCTCCTCATCCTCCTTCTACTGGTCGTTCCGTTTTCTTCCTCGTTCTCCCCCTCCCTGTCCGACACTCGCTTTGTCGCTCTCTCTGTCCTCTGTCTCTCTTTCTGTCTCTCTCTCTCTCTCTCTCTCTCTCTCTCCCTCTGGCAACTCGGATGAGTGGCAACTGAGACGCCCGCAGAGCCCCCCCCACCGAGGGGAGGGGGGCGAGGCGGGCGAGGAGGAGGAGGAGGAGGGGGCGGAGGAGGGAGCAGGTAACGGAAGCGGAGGAGAATGCGAAGGTAGAAGGAGGAGGAGGAGGAGGAGGAGAGGGGGTAAGTGGGTAAGTGGGGGGTAGGGGGGAAGAGGAAGGTAGGAAAACAGGAGGATGAGGAGGGGGATAGCGGAGGGAGCACGGCGAGGTAGGGTGGGCAAAGAGGAGGGGGCGGAGGACCTCCCCCCCAGAAGGCCCCGACCCTGCTCCCCCCTCCCACCCCACCGTTGTTCCCTGCGAGGCCCCCCCAGAGGGGGAGCGCGAGGCCCCAGGCCCGGGTCGAGCAGGCGGCCCGGGTGCGAGGCCGGTGGTGCGCGCTCGGGCCGCCGTGCCGAGGTCGGAGACTGCCCCCCCCCCCGCCAGCCGAGGCTGCACCGGCCCTGAGAGATCCTGGCGGCGCCTTTTTTCACAACGAGCGTTTTCGCGCAGGTGCGGGCGCCGGGACAATGATTCGGGGCCCTCAACATATACACCACCACCACCGTCATCCCCTCCCTCTCCCCGGAGAGAGGAAAGGAATACGAGTGCAGAGGGTAGAGGAGGAATCGACGTGGTGTTGGTGGTGTGCATTCTTGGGGCCCGCAAGTGGCAGATCGATCTGGCCTGGAACTTGGCGCAGAGAGATGGGGGGTAGGGCTAAGTCGGGCGTGTCCCTCTGCAGGAGGAATATCCCAAAATAGTTTACAAAGGTAGTCTGGGGGACGACTTGTTTTGACTATTCTTGACCATTCGGGAGCATCTCTTGAGTACTTCTCCTATTTTTCGATCAACATCGCCCTGCAGGGGGGCATGCCCGAGCTTAGTGTAGGGCTCTGGTCGTGCTTTGTCGCAGCAGGGCTGCCGCTGCCTCGTGGCATCAGCTCTCGGGGGCGGGCCGGTCCTGGGCAGAGGGCCTCCGACGCTCGGCGGCCGCGGCAGGGGCGGGCGGCCCGGCACGTGTCCAGCGGCTCGTCTGGGGCTACCTTCGACGCTTGAGGGCTCTCCTCCTCCTCTCCTCCTCCTCCTCCTCCTCCTTCCTCCTCCTCCACCTCCCTCCTTCCCCCTCCTCCCCCTCCTCCTCCACTCCTTCCTCTCTCCTCCTCCCTCCTCCTCCTGCCTCCTACACCTCCTCCCCTCCGTCTCCGTCCTACTCCTCCTCCTCCTCCCACCTCCTCACCTCCTCTTTCTCCCTATGTTCCTCCTCCTACTCTTCCTCCACCTCCTCCTTCTCCTCCTCCGCCTCCTCCTCCTTCGCCTCACTCCTCCCCATCCTCTCCTCCTCTCATCCTCCTCCTCCTCCTCCTCCTCTCACCGCCTTCTCCTCCTCCTCCTCCTCCTCCTCCTCCTCCTCCTCCTTCCTACCTCCTCCTCCTCCTCCTCCGTCCTCCTACCCCCCCTCCCCCCTGCCCTCCTCTCCTCCTCCTTCTCCTCCTCTCCCCTCTTCCTCCTCCGCCTTCTCCTCCTCCCTCTCCTCCACCTCCTCCTTCTTCCTCCTCCTGCCGCCTTCTCCTCCTCCTCCCCTCCTCTTCCTCCTCCTCCCCTCCTCTCCTCCTGTCTCCACTCCCACCTCCTCCTTCTCCTCCTCCTCCTCCGCCTCCTCCTCCTCCTCCTCTCCTCCGCCTGCCTCCTCCTCCGCCTCTCCTCCTCCTCCTCCTTTCTAGCCTCCTCCTCCCCCCCACCCCCCCCCCCCCCCGCCTTCCCACCGCTCCTCACTTCTTCCTTCCTCCTCCTTCTCCTCCTCCTCCTCCACCTCCTCCTTCTCCTGCTCCTGGTCCTCCTCCTCCTCCTTCTCCTCCTCCTCCTCCTTCTCCTTGCCCTTGCCCTGGGTCGGGTTGTGGAAAAGCCACGGCGGCCTACGGTTCTGCCACTCTCGGCCTCCAGGGCCCCTCGCCAGGCCCAGTGGCCGCCAACAAAACTAGTCAGGACGAGGAGTCGGTCACGGGCGAGGGATCGAGACTTCCGGCGGACCACGTTATGAAAAACAGCAGCGTCGGAGGTCGGGGTGCCAGGGGCTTCGAGCACCGATGTCTTCGACGAGGCCCCCCTGCGAATAGGTGTAATGCTCGCCCACCCGTTCCGCCGAGCCATCCACCTGCCCCACAGTGCCGACCCAGGCTTCCGACGTCCAGATGTTTCGACAACGTGGATCCCTGGAGCTCTGGACCACTTCCCTGGGACCGGTTTTCGTCATGGCCCGTTTTTTGACAGCCCCGTGGCCTGGTGAGGCTTCCCGCAAAAGCCGTGCGTCGTGCTGCGGTTCGTAACGCGACGAGGTGGATCCGGCGGGCGGTAATGGGGGGTGAAGAAACGGGCTCCGGAGGGGCTCTGTTAAGGCCCCTCTTGGAGCCAGCGGGGGACCAAAAGGGGCCCCACAGGGCCCTTTTAGGGCCCGTTTCGTCACCCCCCCCATGTAGGTCACCCTCCATTGCCCCGACCCCCGACGCCGTGTTTTTGTTCGCAGCGTCGGCCCCCAGAGGTCTGGACCCCTTCCCAGGGACCAGTTTCTCGTCCCGAGTTGTTTCCTGACGGCCCCCGGGGGCTGGCAGGGGCCCCCCGAGGCAGAAATTGGGTAAACATCTCTTTATATTATTCTTCTCCTCCTTCTTCTTCTTCTTCTTCTTATTATTCTTCTTCTTATTCTTATGTATTATTATTATTATTATTATTATTATTATTATTATTATTATTATTAGTATTACTATTCTTAATGCTATTATTACTATTATTATCATTAGTAGTCTTATTCTTATTCTTCTTATTATTATCATTATTAGTAGTATTATTATTATTATTACTATTATTATAATTATTATTATGTTTCTGCTTCTTCTTCTTCGTAGTAGTATTATCATTATCATTAGTTATTGTTATTACTATTGTTCTTCTTATCATTATTGTAAGTATTCTTCTTCTTTGGGCAAACAGCCTCCCGTCGCATTTTTTTCTTGGTGTTTGTTTTCAGGCCGGAGGTCGTCGGGGCACCACTCGCGCCCGAGCGGCGGGAATGGGTCGAGCCCCCCCGGCCGCCGCGAGCCGCTCTACGCCCCCGCTCTGGCCCGCGGAGCCCTCCACCCCCGCGAGCCGAGGCCGAGGCGCCCCGCCCGCCCTCCCCGCGGAGTCGAGCCCTCCCCGCGAGCCGGCGCGCCCCGCCCGGCCCGCGGAGGCCTCCATCCTCTACCTGGCCTTCACGCCGCTGGCGTCCATCCCAGCGGCGGAGCGCCCGCGCCTCGCCTTCGAGGTCGGGGCCGCGGCGCTCGTCGCGCCCGAGGAGTTCAATTTTGGGGAGCTGCTGCAGCAGGAGCGCGCCTGCGCCTCCCCCCCCCCCCCCCGGACCCCCTATCGCGCGCCGCGGCCCTTCTCCGTGCCCGTCTCCCTCCGTCATCTCCTCCCCCTCCTGCCTTCTTCTTCTTCTTCTCCTTCTTCTTCTTATTATTATTTTTCTTCTTCTTCTCCCTCTTCTTCTTCTTCTTCTTCTTCTTCTTACTATTATTATTGTCATTGTTACTATTATTATCATTATTATTATTTTTATTATTATTATTATCATTATTGTTTATTATTATTATTATTCTTATTATTTTTTAGTATTATTATTATGATTATTAATATTATTATTATTACTAGTATTACTATTATTACTATTATTAGTATTGTTATTATCATTATTATTATTACTATTATTATTAGTATTATTAGTAGTATTATTATTACTAGTATTACTACTATTACTATTATTATTATCATCATTATTACTATTAATACTATTATTATTCACTATTATTATCCTCCTCCTCCTCCTCCTCCCCCTCCTCCCTCTCCTGCCCCTCCTCCCCCTCCTCCTCCTCCTCCTCCTCCTCCTCCTCCTCCTCCTCCTCCTCCTCCTCCTGTCCTGCATCCCTCCTCCGTGACCGTTCTGGCTCAAGCCATTCGATTCGAGGCCTCGTGCCCTGGCGGCTTACCCAACGTTTCCTTTGCTACCCATGCTCTGGCTTCTCGGAACGATGGCCCGCGTGGCTCATGGGGATTCCTCGGCGTTCGACCGCGGCTCAAGACGCCGACGCAGAATCATATTCAAAGGCTGAACGAGGCATACAAAGCCATGAGGCACCCTACCTGGTGGTACTGCGACGACGTGCTCAATCAGGTTTCCATCGAGCTTGTACCCATCTTCGCTGACACCTCCGATGGCCAGCCGTGCAGCCAGGCTGTCTCCGACAATGCCAGCAGTAGCGGGCAGACCATCCAGCACTCCGTGGACCACACGAACCCGGAGCCCCACACGGATGAGAACAGCACGTCGATGGGCACCTCCAGCGAGAACGAGGACGGAAGACGATCATCTTCTTCGGGAGATCCTTCCTCGCCTTTCCTGCAGGCGCCCGCAGTCCAGCTCTTCGACGCCTGCGGCGTGACCGCCACGATCGCCACCCGGGCCGCCCCCCGCGCTGGAGAGAACACGATGGTGCTCGGGCGTGCTGGCCCCCGCTTCGAGGAGGCTCTTGCAGCGCACTCGCTCGGGACCTCCAGCTCCGGCTCGAAGAGTCGGACAGTGCCCGAGCATGTTCTTTGGGCGGAGGGCGAAGGGTGAAATCTGAAATGCGGTTTCGATTGATTCTCGAGGCTTGAATCTGCAACAGGTGAACGTGAAGACGCATTGATTCTCGAGGTGCAAAACCCCATGTGGATTTCACCCTGAGCCCTCCACCCGAAGAAAATGCTCAGGGTGCGGCTGCTACGGCCCCCCCGTCCGACTCCCTCGAGGACCACCGCTCCGCCGACGCGACGCGACTGGTGGCTGCTTCGCGGGCGAGGCCCTGGCCGCCGTGGGCCGCCCCGAGCCGGGCCTGCTGCGCGCTCGCCTCCCTGGAGTGGTGTCCAGCACCCAGCACGCTGGCAGCACGTGCAGTGCGTGGCTGGTGGTGGCGTGGCTGGTGGTCCTGCGAAAAAATCGGGCCGGGCGAAAGGGGAAGGGGGGGGGAAGGGGGGGCTACGAAATCTGCTGCATGCAGCTGGTTTCGGCCCCACCGAGGGGCCCGTTCCTCATACGTAGCCGCCTCCGGCGCCGGGAGGCGCCGGGAAAATCAGCTGCGTGAGCTGATTCTCGACCCCCCCTTTTGCTATCCCCCCCTTTCGCCCGGTCCGAGAGAACTTTTTTTTCTCACCATCAGAGCACTCCAACATTCTAGCCGTTGGGGGATTTTGTCACGAATGTGCGCGGCACTCGGGCTTGAATCCACCCAGCCCTCTGTTCCTGCAACTGTGGGAATAGTGCAGAAATAACGTGCGCTGCGCTCAGGCCAGGGCAAGAATTGAGAAAGCAACAGCCCCCCATCCGCATAATGGCTGGATCTGTTTAAAGGTTTAGGGTTGCTGGTGATGAGGAGGTCTGAAGCGAAACGTCGGACCTGGCCTACGGACGCGTCTGGTGGTGCGACAAGGGAGAGTTATGCATAACGACAATGGTTGAATGATGATGGGAGGAGAGGGGCCACCGACGCGAGCAGCCGTGACTTTTCGGCCACGCACGCTGTCAATGACCACGAGCAGCCGTGGGGAAGTAATTTGCAAAGGCGCGCGCACACGTAGCTCCGTGCAGGGTTGATCACGGCGAGGGTATGACCCCCAGCGTTTCATTCAGCAAGCCTCCCACGGTTCACCACAAGCTTACCTATTGCAGGTCGGCTCCTGTTGTTTTCCCGGTTTGCTCTGCGACCTGTTGACGCTCGCTGTTGTGGCAGTCGCCTTGCGCCGAGATTCTGTGGAGCGTCCAGCTAATGGCGCTGCTTCTCCTCCTTATCCTTCTTCGCCTTCTCCTCCTCCTCCTCCCGCGCTTCCTCTGCTTTTCTCTGCTAAACAAGGAGCTCCTGGGTTCGCTGGATGGTTCGGAATACGCGTGGATCAAGGACCTCCTCAAAGCTTTCGGCGAGGGCAAGTTCGACTTGTTCGATGGTGCCGTATCCACTCACCGGGCCAAGATCGACTCGACGCCCGAGCTCAAGGAGGGAAGGATGAGGAAGAGGACAGGGAGGAGGATGAGGAGGAAGAAGAGGAGGATGAGGCGTGGGGCAAGAGGAAGAAGAGGAGGGTCAGGACCAACAGGATGAGGGGGAGGGGAGGTGGAGGAGGAGAGGAGAGGAGAGAAGAGAAGTAGTAGCCGTAGGATCCGCAGTAGTCGTAGAACCAGTCGTAGTCGTCGGCGTTATAGTAGCAGAATTGTCCGTAGATCTAGTATACGTAGTTGTGACAATAGAAGTACGTAGTAGTGTTAGTCGGAGCATGTTTGGTAGCGGTAGTGGTAGTGGTAGTGGTAGTGGTGCTGGTACTGGTAGTGGCGCTGGTACTGTTACCGGTATTGGTACTGGTACGGGTACTGGTAGTGGTACGGGTACTGGTACGGTGCAGGGAACTGGTTGTGGTAGTGGTAGTGGTAGTGGTAGTTGTAGTGGTAGTGGTGCTGGTAGTGGTGGTGATAATGATAGTAGTAGTAGTCGTCGTAGTCGTGGCGTAGCAGTGCCGGTAGTCGGAGGTGGTGAAGGATCATCAGGAGAGACAGGACGAGAAGGAGGCGGAGAATGTAGAGGAGGACAACGAGAAGGAATCCGGAGGAGGAAGCCGAGGAGAGGTGAAGGACAGGAAGGAGGAACACGAGTACGATGATGATGAGGAGGACGACGATGATGGATGTGATGATGAGGATGTGGATGATGATCATGTGATAATGGTGATGATGATGACGAGGAGGGAGATGATGATGATGCTGATGATGGTGATGGTGATGATGATGCTGCTGATGATGACGATAGGGATGATGATGCTGATGGTGATTATTATGATGATGGTGATGATGCTGATGTTGTGATGATGGTGATGATGGTACTGATGATGATGATGATGCTAATGATGATGAGGCTGTTGGTGATGATGATGATGATAACTATGATTATGGCTATGTGGTGATGATGATGGTGATGATGATGACGATGATGATGGTGATTCTGGTTATGTGGTGGTGATTACGATGATGTTGATGGTGATGGTAATGATGTTGATGGTGATAATAATAATGAGCAGGAGGAGGAGGAGGAGGATATGGATGATGATAATAATAATGATGATGATGATGATGGTGATGATGATGACGATGATGATGGTGATTCTGGTTATGTGGTGGTGATTACGATGATGTTGATGGTGATGGTAATGATGTTGATGGTGATATAATAATGAGCAGGAGGAGGACGAGGAGGATATGGATGATGATGATAATAATGATCATGATGATGATGATAATGATGAAGATGATGATGATGATGATGATGATGATGATGATGATCATCATGATGATGGTGATCGTGATGGTGATGGTGATGGTAATGGTGGTGGTGGTGATGATGGTGGTGGTGATGATGATGATGTTGGTTGTGATGATGATGATGATGATGATGATGATGATGATGATGATGATGATGATGATGATGATGATGATGATGATGATGATGATGATGATGATGATGCGGACGATGAGCGGAGGAGGAGGAGGAGGAGGAGGAGGAGCGGAAGGCAGCCGTGGACACCGTGTTGAGGCCGAAGATGTGCGCCCTGGCGCTGATGGAACTCGCCTTCAGGAAGCATCTACACCTGTTCCTGTTTTTTTTCCTCCTCTTGCTCTTCCTCCTCATCATCACCACGGCCATCACCATTGGTCATCACCAGCACCTGTGCTTTTCACATCACCACCATCATCACCACCATCACCTCCACCATCACCATCCATCCATCGATCCGTCCATTATCATCACCGTCATCATCAGCATCGCCATCATCATCATCATCATCATCACCATACCACCACCATCATCATCACCATTACCATCATCATCATCACCACCACCATCATCGTCATCATCATCATCATCAGCCTCATCATCATCATCATCAGCAGCAGCAGCAGCATCAGCATCTTCGCTCTTAGCATCACCATCACCATCACCATCACCATCACCATCACCATCACCATCACCATCACCATCACCATCACCATCACCATCACCATCGCCTGCCTCCTGCCCCTACCTCTTCATCGTCGTCCTTTGCTCCTTTCCCGCTTTCTCCAGCCCCTCACCCAGGAAGCCGAAGAAGCAGCGGCGCCTCACCTTTGCCGAGGTGGCAGAGCACTGCCGCGTCGGCCCGAAGGACGTCGAGATGCTTGTCATGAAGAGCATGTGCGCCGGCCTCATCAAGGGCCAGATCGATGAGGTCAACCAGATCGTGATGGTCGCGCACGAGGGATGGAGGATGAGGAGGAGCGGGAGGAGGAGTAGGAGGAGGCTCTGCTGCCACGGATCCTGTTCCTCCTCCTCCCCGTCTGCCTCAGTGCTTCCCTCCCGCCCCTCGTCCTCCTACTCCTGCCGCTGCTCCTTCTGCGCCTGGAATTATCCTCATGCGCCCTCCTCCTCCTCCTCCTCCTCCTCCTCCTCCTCATGTCCTCCTCATCCTCATGTTCTTCTCCTTCAGTCCTCCTCCTCCTCCTCCTCCTCCTCCTGTCCTCATTCCCCTTGTGTCCTCCTCTTCCTCCTGTCCTCCTCCTCCTCCTCCTTCTCCTCCTCCTGTCCTCCTCCCCTCCTTTTCCTCCTCCTGTCCTCCATTTCCTGCTGCTCCTCCTCCTCATCCTTCTCCTCCTCGTCCTCCTCCTCGTCCTCCTCCTCTTCCTCCTCCTGCTCCTTCTCCTGCTCCTCCTCTCCTCCTCCTCCTCCGCCTCCTCCTCCTCCTCCTCCTCCTCCTCCTCCTCCCCCTTTTCCTCTTCATCCTTCCCTCTCCTCCTCCTCCCCCCCCCCCGACATTTCTCCCCAGCGTCCTTTTCAACTCCTTGTCGCTCTTCCGCTTTGTCTTCCTCTTCTTCTCCTCCCTCCACCCCTCGCCGCTCCTCTCGCTGCTCCTATCGCAGGTCACCTGGGTGAAGCCCCGCATCCTCGACACGGTGCGCATCGATCTGATGAGGGAGCGAATGGACGCCTGGGGCGCGCAGACAGGCCGACCCCTGGAGCACCGGGTGGAGGAGAGAGTGGAGGGGAGCGACGTGCGGAAACGCTCGCGAGGGGGGGGAGGAAGGGAGGGAGGGAGGGAGGGAGGAGGGAGGGAGGAGGGAGGGAGGGAACAGGGAGGGATGAGAGAGGAGGGAGGAGGAGGGAGGACGGGGGAGGAGGAGGGAGGGGCATGCGAAGATTTTCACCGGCTCTGATGTTCCCCGCACGAGGAGGAGGAGGAGGAGGAGGAGGAGGAGGAGGGAGGAGGAGGAGGAGGAGGAGGAGGAGTAGGAGGAGGAGGAGGAGGAGGAGGAGGAAGCGGAGGAGGAGCAGGAGGACGAGGAGGAGGAGGAGGAGGAGAAGGAGGAGGAGGAGAGGAGGAGGAGGAGGAGGACGAGGAGGAAGAGGAGGAGGAGGAGGAGGACCAGTGTAAACCCAAGGCTCATCTCCGACGTCGCAACAAGCCCTCGCTCCAAGTTGCCTGTTCACAACTCCCTGCCAGCATGTGCTCTCATTGCTGCAATTGCCCCCTTGAAAGACAAGCGACTGAGAATCTTCAATCGTGCCAGAACGCAGTTCCTGGGACTTCGACGCTGCGAATCAACGTGGCTGTTGCGTCTTGGCAGTCCTAAACCGGGCTAGGACATTATTCGTTGGACGTCTGCACCGCGAATCAACGCAACTGCTGCGCCCTGACAGTCGTAACTCGCGCCAGAACAGCATCCCTGGGATTTCAACCCTGCGAGCCCTTGAAATTGCTGCAACTTCTCAGGACGAATGCGTGCGGCGCTAAGACGAGAGCCACAGTTTGAAACCACCTGCCCTCCATCCTTGAAACGGCTGCAAAGTTTTAATGCTATTGTGCGCGGTGCTCAGGCGTGAACCACATGTTGAAAGCCACCTGCCTTCCATCCTTGACCTTGATGCAGATTCACAGCTGCAGGATCAGACATGGTGAGGAGGTCTCAGGCGAAACGCCCAGCCCACCCTACTGATACGTCTGGGGGTGCGACAGGGAAGAGTAGTCGGAGGAGGTGGAGGACGAGGTGGAAGAGGAGGATGAGGAGGAAGTACAACATGAACAGCAATTATACGTGACGAGGAGGAGGGAGGAGGGGGGCCAGAGGAGGACGAGGACGATGATTTTTAGGAGGAGGACGGGGGGCGGAAGGAAGGAGAAGACGAGGGAGGAGGGAGGCGGGCGTACAAGACAGGATGTTACAGACGAGGGCGGCTCGATCCAGCAGCACGCGGTCCACCGACTCGCAGCCACTCATCTCACCTCAGCCTGGGCCAGCGAGAACTTGAGCGACACCACGCCCCTCAGCAGCACGGGTGCCCTCAAGAATGACGAAGACCCAGGCACCTAATGTCTGGGAACAAGCAAGACGGGGGCTATTCGCCGTGTTCGGCCTCTGGGGGCCCTCTCCGGGCCTTGGGACCGTCCGGGAAGGATTCATGATGCAAAGGCGTCCCCAGGGAAAAGATCGGGAGATCTGGGGACCCCATGCTGAACGTGTGTGGATGTTGCCAGCGTCGTCGTGGCTGGGCTGGCCCGGGTAGCGATAACACAGCGGCACCAATCACGAGGCACACACGCACACACGAGTGCATTGACCACCTGGCGTGGGAGCGTGGGCAAAGCTGTGAGTCCCAGAGAAAAATCGGACGTAGCCAGCAGCAGGGCAGCAAATATAAGGCGCGTGCAGGGAAATGGGCTGGAGCAGCTTCACGGGCACTTTGTTCTCCGCCAGCCAAGTGGCAGCACTGTCGCGAATCAGGTCGGCAGTCATTCTGGCTCAAGGCCCGAGCTCCCGCAGGGTGCAGAGCAGCCCTGCCAGGTGCAAAGGCGCCACGGCAGAGGCCTCGATGCCGAAGCTCAGCGAACCTCCGGACTCGGTCTGGCGCGAGGTCGCGCTGCACTTCCAGTCCAGGGTCGCCTCCCCCGAGCTGCTGGACACGGAGCTCCACCTCTCCGTGGTCAGGACGCTCCTGGGGGAGGAGCTGCGCCAGGTGCTGCGGGAGGAGCTGGCCAGCGCGCTGCAGCGCGCCCCGGGCGGCGAGGGCGCACCCGCACTGGAGGGGCCCGCGCCCGCGCCCGGCGGCCGCCCGCTGCCGGCGAGCGGGCGGCCGGGCGCGGCTCCAGGCGCGGAGCAGGCCCTGCGCACGCCTGCGGGGCTCGCAGCGCTGAGCGCGTTCAGCCAGGCGCTCGAGAGCAGCCCGCCGGAGCCTCTGGCCGCCGTCGGCGCACGGAGCGAGCCGCGGGCGCCCGCTCAGGCGCCGCCCGCCTCGGGAGCGCCGCTCGGGCGCCCCCGGTGCGCAGGCGACCCGGCGCGCGAGGGCGACCCGGGAGACTCGCCCCAGAAGTGCGACTTGGCCGTCGCCGTCGCGTCAGAGCCCTTGGACCCGGCGCACACTCCGAGCAGCCGAGGGCAGGCCAGCGAGCACCCGCAGGGGGCCGCCCACGCAGGCAGGGCGGGGGCCCTACCCAATAGCGACATCAGCTCGCACTTGCGGCGCCGCGTTCGCCGGTTCTCGTTTTGCAAGTCTGATCTTCACGACGGTCCACTGACCCCCAGAGGCGTCATAGCTGAGAAAGCGGCTAAAGCACAGTGCATTGGACCATGCTTTGTGAGCTTCCTAGCCCTCTTCGAGAAATTCGGCGCCGTGGAGGCGCCGCCACGGTCAGACCCGCTGTCGAAGTTCGCAGATGGTCCGGTCTTCTCCGCGCTGATTTACGGAGCGATTCTTTTCAATTGCTTGTTCATGATCGTTGCCGCGGACGAGGATATTCATTTGGCAATCCATGAGCCCGATGTTGAGCCGAGCGATTTTGTGGTGCGTGGCGAGCAGATGTTCGTCCTCGTCTACTTCCTCGAGTTCGCCGTGAAGTTGTGGCGGTACCGTTTGTACTTCTTTTGTGATGCCAGTTGGAAGTACAATTGGCTCGATTGCCTTCTTCTCATGTTTGGCATCTACTCAACACTTTTGGAGGGCTTGTTTCCAAACCTCTCGTGGATGCGAATTCTGCGAATCCTTAAGCTGGCAAAATCGTTGCGCATTTTCCGACTGATAACCATGGTGAAGCCTCTTCGCGCAATCCTCAAATCGCTTGCAAGCACAGTCGACACATTGGCATGGAGCATTATAATGCTGATTGTAATTCTGTTCCTGTTCGCTTTAATGTTGGTCATTCGAGTTGCGAGTTTCTTTCAAGACGAGAGCGCTCTTGAGTATGATGCAACGCTTCTAGGAAACCTAGGTACGACCTACGGCAGTGTTGGAGTGACCATGCTGAATCTTTTCATGTGCAGTACTGGTGGCAACGATTGGTCGGTCTACTATGAACCGTTGGTGCCGACAGGCGTGATCAATTGCATGATCTTTTTCGGCTTCATAGCATTCACCCAGATAGCCCTTTTGAACATCATCCTCGGTATCTTTGTCGACGACGCAATGAAGAACATGATTTCTGAGAAGGAGGAGAGGGCGCAGGAATATGCGGAGGAACAACTGAAGACGGCCAGGGAGCTCCAGGAGTTGTGCTACGAGCTAGACCAAAACGGAGACGGCATGCTGAGCGCGGAGGAGTGGCACCGGGCCATTCGGAAGGAGAAGTTTCGAAACTACCTCGACATGATGAACTTCCGCTCGAGCGAAGTGAAGGACTTTCTCGATTTAATGGTCACAGCTACTGATGATGGTTTGGTCGACATTGACACGTTTGTGAGATCTTGCATGCGGTACAAGGGCGCAGCATCTTGTTTCGACATGCAGATTGTGCTCCACGCAGTGGAAGAACTGAAAGACCTGCTCATAGACGCTCGCGGGGTCCAATGAGGCCTTCTCTGGTTTATTCCGATGATTTGAGCTTATTAGCTTGGTGATCGTTCACCCCTGGTTGCAAGCATTACCCATATCATATGCCTTGGCACCAGGGGCCTGGACCCCAGGGCCGGCACCCCCCTCCGAATCCCCCCTGGCACCCTTCCCGCCGCCTC